GATAGTTCAGTAGAATAAGCATTTGCCTGGGAAGTGCAAGGGCCTGAGTTCAATCCCTGGTTCTACAAAAAAAAAAAAAAAAAGTTGGGGCTGGTGAGATAGCTCAGTGGACTAAAGCACCTGCTTAGGCAAGCTTATATAAGTGCTGGGACCGCGGTTCAATCCCTGGCACCGCATGCTGCGCCAGCCCTGCCCCCAGGGTGGGCTGAACTGGCCAAAAAAAAAAAAAAAAAAGTCATCTATACTCACATTAGGGAAGAAATCATAAATCAATAAATGCCTTAGTCTGATGTGTCACAGAATGCTGTGTTCCTGGCCAGAAAGACTTACAAGGAATACTACATTTAAGAAAGACTTACAAGGAATACTACATTTACAAGAAGTGTACTTCTAGAACTTCAGACTAATCAATAATAGTTAAGATCCTCATGAATAAAGGCCTTGGTAGATTCTCAAAGAAGAAGAAATAAATACAACTGATTGAAAAGCAGAAAAAGCCAGGCATGGTCATGCACATCTAGAAACCCTAGCACTCAGGTGGCTAATGCAAAAGGATCACTGCGAATTTGAGGCCAGCTACATAGTGAGTTAAAAGCCAGCCTGAAATACATAGTAAGATGTTGTCTCAAAAGCCAAGTATGCTGGTACATGCCTGTTATCCCAACATTTGGGACACGGAGACAGGATTGATTCAGTTCAAGGTTAACCTGGGCTACAAAGTGGGCTCAAAACCAGCCTGATGTGCACAGTAAAACCCTGTCTCAAAAAGACAAAAACAAAAAAATGAAACAACCGCCTTTTAAATGAGAGGTTTGGGGCTGATTACATTAGCAAATGTATTTTCTTTGTTTTCGAGTGGATAGCTAATAATTTAGATATTTTTAGGTATAACTGTTTTGCTGATGAAGGTAAGATAGAGTGCTCCTATGAACAGTATAAAAATCAGCACAAGGCTTTCAGAAAGCACTTCAGTGGGTATAGAATGCCTGGGCATTCTGTGGATTCACCAGGTAAGGAACTAGATACTCTACAACATAAGCAACAAAACTATTCTTAGTGGGAAAATAGGTGGTATATGATTATAAATGTTTAATATGCCTGTAGATGTTAGGTAGGCAAAGAAAAGTGTATATACTAATGGTCCCAAAAGCATGCATATGTGTATATATATAAAATATATATGCATATATCATACACATACACACAAATGCTTAGTAAAATCCAGAAGGAGATTACAGAAGTGGCTGGTGGTGACTGACTCTCTTAGTGGGTGCTTGGCGGGTGAGTGCCAAGTGCTGATCCAAAAGCTGATCACATACCATTCTATGAAAAGGAAACTGAGGTGCAAAGAGGTTTCCAGTTTGCCTGTCATCATACACAAGTCCAGATTTGTCCAGTTTGGTTTGCATTTGGGTTTTCTTGTTTTTGTTTTGTTTTGTGAGTTTTATTTATGTATTTCTTTTTTGAGGTACAAAAAAGAAAATCTCTCTATAGTTGAGGCTGGCTTTGAACTCTACATAGTCCAAGCTGGCCTCCCACTCACAGTGATCCTTTTGCCTCAGCCTCCCAAGTGCTGGCACTATAGACTTGTGCTACCATGCCTGGCCTTTTTGTTGTTGCTGGGTTTTTTTTTTTAATTGTCTCTTTTTTTAATATTAATTTTATTGAGAAAGAAATAGCAATGAAACAATTTCAAAACAGGTTAGTAGGACAGTTACAATAATTAAAATATTGCATATTGTTGTCTTTGTAGTATTTTTTTAGCTTTTTTTTTTTTTTTTTTTTTTTTTCCGGTACCAGGAAATAAACTCAGGACCTTGCACTTGCCAGGCAGGTGCTTATGCTACTGAGCTATCTCCCCAGCCCCTGTAGGGTTGTTTGTTTTTTGTTTTTTTTTTTTTTATTTTTTTAGGGAAGGGTCTACAGAGTGTTCAGGGTCTCACTACTAAATCGGACTCATCTACCTGTTTACAGCCTTTCAAGAGCTGGAATTATAGGCATACGCCACCATGCCCAGTCTTATTGCTGTTTTTTAGACAGGGTTTCACTATGTAATTTTGGCTGACCTTGAATTCAGATTGTAGACCGGGAAGATGGCTCAGTGGAATAAGCGCTTCCCTGGCAAGCACAAGGGCCTGAGTTCAATCCCCGGTTCCACAAAAAAAAAAAAAAAAAAAAAAAAACCACCATGAATTTCACATTGTAGCTCAGGCTGGCTTGAACTTGTGATATTCCTCTTGCCTGAGCTTCCCAAGTGCTGAGATTACAGGCATGCACCACCATGCCCCGCTTGAGTCCAGACTTTAAAGCCAAATCATCCCAGCTCCCAGCCAGCTCTTCTTTGTTGTTCTTCCTGATTTTGTTTTGTGACACTGGGGTTCATATCCAGTGCATAGCATGTATTAGGCAAGAGCTCTGCCCCTAAGCTACATCCCTACTGTTCTTATTTTGAATCAGGGTCAGTTAGTTCCCCCAAGCTGGCCTCAAACTTAAGATCTTTCTGCCTCAGCCTTCCCAGGAGCTGTAATTACAGGCATGTGTCACCCTACCTGGCTCCTACCCATCTCTTTTTACTAGTACATCCTCCCTTGGAATGTCTTACTTTCACTCTAGGGTTGAACAGAAACTAAGTTTTTCACAATGTGAACAGGAGCCCTAAATTCCCTGAGAACCTGCACCAGGGTGAGAAGGCAACTCATCTGCCTTTCATCCCTTTAAAAGACCTTCACCATGTGGTATATCACTTATTCAAAAGAGAGTAACACTAAAGATTTTAGGCATACTGTTCCAGAACGTTGAGAAACTTAAGTAGGCAAGTGGGTACATCGGTGTTTTCTACCTGAAGAACCTCTCCCTTCGGAAGTAAACAATCTCATGCTCACGTTGCCCTTTCTTTCTGTCCTCAGCTGGCTTTAGCCAAAGCCTGTGCAAATGGAAACCAGCTTGGACTAGAAGCAAAAGCCTGCAATGATGTAGTCTGTCAGTTGTTCCAGGGCTCCCAAGCTGTCAATAAGCAGCAGATCTTCGCTGTGCAGAAGGGACTCAATGACACAATGAGGTGAGACATTGAAGAACCAGAAGATAGCTCAGCATGGTGCAAGTGTGAGGCCAGCCCTGTGTTCAGTCTCTAATACTCCAAAAAAGCCCAAGGGTCTAGAGTGGTGGCAGGACAATACCTAAGAGGGCAGTGTGATTTATATTCACTAACAATCTGGTAGGAGTGCCCCTTTTGTGTGTGCATGTGTAGTGTTTCTAAAATCAGTGATGACTAAGCACTTAGGACTCTGAGGAATAAATATCCTTCTACTTAGCTTTTTTAAGCCAGAGAACCCCTTAAAGCAATCTTTCCAAAATGATGGGACTGGGCTGGGGAGATGGCTCAGTGGAATAAGTGCTTCCCTGGCAAGCGCAAGGGCCTGAGTTCAATCTCCGGTTCGAAAAAAAAAAAAAAAAAAAATCATTTGAGCCTTCCAAAATGATGGGACTCTCAGTTTCTGAGGGTGAAACATAACTTTTTTTATGTGTGGGAATGGGGTGTGAGAAATATCCCAGGCTTGTACAGGTTAATTTACCACTGACCTATAACCCCAGTCCCGGCAACATTTTTTGTTACATGTTATCTTTACAAGCATTAGTATGTTTTGTGAAACTCAATGCTGAGCAGTCTAGACAGGGCCTGGGAGTCCTCTGTCCCCTACAACACTGCCATGACACCTAGTGTGATCTGCATCTTGCTGTGGGGGTTCCAAGGTTAGTAGAAAACACTATTTTACACTAAATCACAGAACATGTTAAAGGGTAAAATGGAAAACATGAATGACTTTTTTTTAAGATTGCAAATATGTTTTGGATTTATAGTGCACAGCATCTAGCTCTGAGGAAACACTGCCTGGCAGGCACATAATAAAATTACAGTAAACAGAGCAATAAACTTTTTTTTTTTTTTTTTTTAAAGACAGGTCTCACTACGCACACAGTTCAGGCTGCCCTTGAGCTCATGTTGTAGCCTAGGTTGGTCTTGAATTTGCAACAAACCCTTGCCTCAGCCTCCTGAGTGCTGGGATTATAGGTTTGCGCCACCACACCTGGCTATAAACATTTATTTTAAAAAAAATGGGGCCAGGGAGATAGCTCAGTAGAATAAGTGCCTGCCTGGCATGCGCAGGGTCCTAAGTTCAATCCCCGGTGCTGAAATAAATAAATAAATAAATAAATAAATAAATAAATAAATAGTAAATGATTGATTGTCCCTTCCCTGGAGTCCTGGTCGGTCTGTCTGTGTCTGTCTGTCTGTCTGTCTGTCTGTCTGTCTGTCTCTCT